CACTTCATAAATCTTGATTCAAGTTGGTCATTAGTTTCTTGTCTAACAAAATACCTCACAACACCAGATTTGAATATGAGGGTACTTTCCAACTCCACATTTCATGAGGTGTTTTCAAACCTAATTAGTTGGTTACAATGCTCAAATATTTCAAGCGTATATTCCCAAAATGTAATTGGTAGCGAAGCAAGACTCATCAAAGATCGAACCGTGTTGCATTCAATTCTCCTTATAGCAACATCATTACATTATGATGTCCTTGGAGAAACTTATTATGGAAACCCTTCCACAATCTCTATTATGATCATAGAACCCGATACTAAGGTATTCTCCTTTCTTTTCAGATTGAAGACCCTTTATCTTCACGCCCAATTGATTCCATACTTGGTCCTGGTACTCTTTGAAACTTTTCAAGGTGTCAGAATTATGCTTAATCAAATAAACATAACCATATCTACAGAAACTATCAATAAATATGACATAGTGGTGTATGTTGCCCCTTGTGGTGGGTTTAAAGGTTCCGCATACATTAGTGTGTACAAGATGCAACAATCCTTTGTCTCCATTACATGTTCATGTGAATGGTAACCAATTCGTCGTGCCAACATACAAGCCTCGCATGTATCATCCAACTCAAAGTCGAATGATTCCAAGTCCGGTCCAATTGGAGCTTGGTGATGTGATGCTCACTTATGCTACCAAGGTGATTACGCCACAAGTGTGATCATCTCTAAACTATTAGAGGAATCAATATTCAAGTTATCACTTGTATTATTAGAAACACAAACTACAATTTCATGAATGCCAATTGCAATAAGAAGTTTTAGCCATAAAACCATCATCTTTATAAACTATAATTATCACATTTCCATTTGCAAATGAAAATTGAAATTCATGTTTATACAACACATAAGATGAAACTTTGCTTCTAGACATCTCCGAAGAGTAATATCAAGTGACTAGATTTATCCTAACTCCATTACTAAACGCAAGCTCAAAATCCTCAATCATTGAGACATGCGATTCGTCCATTCTAATGACTAGGTTTAGCTCTTTATGCTTAACTTCCTTCTTTCCTATAGATCCTACAATGCCATCCAAATGTGACCACCACATCATGAATCAAGGAACTATGAAATGGATGTATTTGGAGTTTTATTATTCAAGTACCTGATGTAGAGTCAAACATTTGACTTTACCATTTCAAAGTAATTAGGGATATCTTCATTTCCTATAATCATTTTCCTTGCATTAATTGCAACTTGCCTCATTTGAATCATGGTTGCATGGATTAGAGGACACACCAATTCCCTCATAATGGAAAGTTCCAGCTGAAACTGTTCCTTTCCATTTAGGATTCAAAGGTTTCCACCAACATTCAAAAGTGATAACTGGCATTGGATAAGAAATCTAATTTCTTTCCACTTTCCTTAGTTTGGAGAAGTCTTAAGAATCCCATCAATGTTTTTATACATATTGTTCATACGATAAATCAAGTTGTAGTTATCATAAGGATTAATGAAAGATCAAAGCACAAGATCTACAACAAGACTCTTGTCAAGGGTGACATTGAGATTCTCGAGTTTGTCTATGTAGCTCTCATTTATTACATATAAGACCTTTTTCTTCAATTCGAATGCAGTTAGGAACTTTTAAAGATTTTCAAATCACTCTTGCCTTATGGTGAAATATTTCACTCAATTGAAAATTCATTTCACATGTTCACAAAATCATTTGGAAGATCGAGGACATAGACACAATGATGCAAGAGACCTTATTTGACAAATCTACATTTTATGGGAATAAAAACTTATATAAATTTGACATATAATTGATTTTAGATATATGCTCATTATTGATATCTTTCTTAAAATCAAAATCGAGAAAGATCCCATAACAAATGTGTCATTCTCAGTAGAGAACAAGAGAAGCTAGAATTAGAAAGTGAGTGGGAAGGTGGGAGAGGATTACCTAAGGAGAAGGTTTAAATAAATCGATTCAATCCTTAATTATTGACTCAATATTAAATTAAGGCTAGGATCCACAAATACGATTCGTAATATGAAGAGGGGTATCGTAGTCATATCACAAAACTATTTTAGGTAGGTAAAACATTTTACCAATTTCAATCAAAATGAAACTCTTAGAACTTTTGAGATTCATTGAACAATCAATGACATTTTTGTTGGATTACGTGTCTTATCCATTAACTAAATTATTAGCAAAGTCCTATTGGGTTGCCCTCAAACCTAATAAGAGATTGAAAGCTATTTGGAGAGAGAGACTGGTTTATCAATTTATTATATGATTAATAAATTAACTTGAAATCAAAATAGATAATTTGTTAATATGTTTTGAGAAAAATATATTAAATCAAAATTATATTGTTTAATTATGAATTAATCAGAAATTAATTGGAATTAATTTTTGGATTAATTGGAATAATTAAAAGTTGAAGGACTAAAGGTGACAATGTCCAAAAGTTGAACATTGAATAATTCTAGAACCTCCCTAGGATGGGTGACGATTTCTAGAAGAGTTATAAGGGTTTCTTGGGCATTAAGGGAACCTATGAATCCTTAAGGAGCAAGGAAAAGGGATAAGACTTATCTTATGAAACTGCCTTATCCATAGCCCCCTTGATCACATATATAAACCCTTATTGGTTCTCATATTTTTTTTTGCTATCATACCTCTCAAAGGAATTCGGAAAATTCCATCTTCTCCCCTCTCTCTTCGATAAGCCTCCAACTGCTAGGGTTTGGGTGTGAGCTATCAGAGGCACTAACTTTTTGGTGTTGGTTTTCTGAAGTTCTACAAAGAAGGCTTTTTAGTTTGTTTACATTAACAGACTAAAAGGTATTTTTTTTCATTTATCCCTACTCCAAAATCGAAAAATAGCAATGTAACTTAGGGTTCTTGAATTCAAATTGTTGTTTGCATATAATAGTGAGAACATAGATCCTTTAGGGTGTATGCGAACTTATGGTTTATGTTTTTCCGCCAACAATATGATTTTTGTAACATATAAAACCCATTAGTGGTATCAGCGCCATTGTTCTCTGGGATCTTGCATAAAGTTGAATTCAATCAAAAACCCTTTTGGTGAATTTTCGATTTGGGAAGGGTTTCTTGATTTTTGAAATTTGTAGGGCTTTAGTAGGGTTTCCTTATTTGATAATTATTAGTTTTAAATGCGTTAAAATTGAATAATTGTTATTTGGTAAAACCCAAACCCTAAATTTGAAATTAGAGGGTATTGGATTAGAATTAATATTTATTTCATTAAATGTTTAATGGTAAATAAATTGTTTAATCCTTATTGATTTAATTCAAATTGAATGAATTTTTATTAATTTCGATTTTTTTTAATTAAACCTAGTATTTTAGAAATGATTTTAAAATACACCTTATATATATATATATATATATATATATATATATATATATATATATATATATATATATATATATATATATATATATATATAAATGTTAATACACTATATGTATAAGAAAAGTCAGTCAAATCAATAAGCCTTATTCACGAAACCATGATATAAATAGGGTATAAGGAAGCGGCCTATAAAATGGTCATTGAATGGGTGTCCACTCTCACCCACCGCTCTCCTATATGGTGGTGGATCGTTAGCCGAACGGGTTTAATAGGACATAACCCCCTTAATAAGTATAATGATATAAAGTAACTAAATTATTTATTTTAAAATCTCACCCTTAGTTACTTTATGAAAAATGTGAATTTGTATGCTAATAAATGAAATTGCACATTATGCTTTATATGTCGTTAATGGAGCGTGTGTGGCTCACCTGCACACTAATAAAGACTATAAAGAATAATAATAGGCATCTCGAGAATTATCATTGTTGATGGAGCATGTGTGGTTAACTAGCACATCAATTAGAGATGATAAATGACATCCAGGTTGTCATGCACATTTGCATGATTATTCACATCTTGTATGTGATCCTCGATATCTCATTCACAAATAGAAAGAACATAATCTAAGATTAAACATGCCATTGATAGATTTAATGAATTTAAAAAGATCTAGGAATTTCATTTTGATTGAAATTGGTAAATTGTAGTGTTGCAGAAATCGGCCTTGACGACCGATTAATCGTTTGACGGCCTTAAACCGATTACGATTAGGATGCTTGATGGAAATTGGTCAAAGTCAGGCTTGGCGGTTATAGGCGGGAAATTTTTAAAAATTCAAAATTTTTAATTTTCAAATATTACACCAAAAATTTAAAATTTCAAAATTTTAAGTTTTCAAACTTTAAAATATTATACTAAAATTTTCAAATTTCTAATTTCTAAAATTTTTAAATTTTAAAATACTTAATTTTTTAGGAAATATTATTTTTTTAAAAAAATAATTTTATTAATTATTTCGGGTTCCCGATTAATCTCCGATTATTCCCCGTCTAGTACAATTAACCGCTTATCGTCAGTTGACCACCGAGCTACTGCCAAACAATTTTTACAATCTTTCTATTTTATCTTCACCGGACAAACTACTAACATTTACGATAAATAAAAAGCATCAAACAGAGTGAGTACGTTAATATATATATATATATATATATATATATATATATATATATATATATATATGCTTTTAATATTCAAAATATTTACTAAAAGTAGTTAAGTTACTATTTTAATAATATAACTTTTGTACTATACTTCATATATTGATTATCTATAAAATTTAAGGAAAAAAATAAAGAAATATATAAATACATTTGGAGAAAATCTCTTAATTCAATCAAATGGGTCAAGAATAAGTAGTCGATCAAACATACATGAATTAAACCTCAAAACATACATGGACTAAACCTGTAACAGAGGCTTGAATAGAAAGTAATTTTTTGTTAGGTTGCTATCTTTTTTAGGTTCATTAATATTGGAATAAGAGTTATCTTAGGTGAATTTAGATTCTTTTTTTCTGTTTGAATTTAAAGAATAACAATGCCATTTGTAGAAATATATTATTTAACAAGGAGAACAAGATAAAAACCGGAGTAGTTTTTTGATGAAAGTCAACATTTTGACATGAAAAATGAATTTCTTACATTCATGTTCTTTTTTGGCCTAATTATCAATCAGAAGATTCATAGCTTATATGAATGCTCTCACCTTCCTTGGACAAACTCTTATCTTTTATATCATGTCATAGATAAATCTGATCCTCTAGATTTGGGGAACTGGACACAAGAAGAAATATCAGTCAATAAGAAATATCAGTCAATGGGACAAAAACTCGCTCTGGATCTCTCACTTGTCAAAAAGACATAAATACCCTCCTCACCCCATCATAAAAAAAATGGGAAGTGATTCGTACACAACAATTTTTCACCATACACAACAATTTATGCTTTATGAAGTTGTACAATACAAAACTTTAACGCACAAATTGTTGTATAGAAAATTTTTGTTGTGTACGAATCAGTTCCCTAAAAAAATAGCCCTAGAATATCTAGTCTTGTTCATATAGTTATTGCATAGCCCACCTCTGCAATAAACATTAAACATAAACCAAAACATATTGTAGCATACAAAAACACCAACAACCACAAGAAGAAAACAAAACATGTCACGATGTTATAAAATCAAAAGCTTTGGTGTCGAAGGTCTAGGATAACAAAGATGGACATGAAAAGCACTAGAGTCTAACATTATTATCTTTTTATGCAAGAGCTTGTGTTTCATCAGGAACAACACCATTAGTGGTGGTAGGCTCATCATCATCATCATCATCTGATTTCAACTGAGACGATACATCATCTATAGCAGAGTTCAATTCCGCTATCTTCTGTGCCAATTTCTTGCGTGTTTTCTGCAACAAATATTTATATTAAACGAGTTTAATGTTTTATGACAAAATTGCCCCTAATAGGATTAGTTGGTCAAATATGGTCGAGAGGAAGTAAATTAATTTTATAATATGGAATTGAACTTCTTGCATACCAAGTGTCTGTTTAGTTAAATGGAATTGAATGAAATGACAAAGGAATGGAATGAGTAATTACATTCCATGATCATGTTTCATTGGTGTGTAGGAATGGGGATGAATTTTTTTTCATATCAATCTTTATGTTATACGCAAATAAAATGTATGGTTTTTTTGGAATCCTATAACTTATTTACTTATAATTACAGAATTTACTACTTACAAAACTATAATATCAAACATAAGCTTAATAATAATAAAAAAAAAAACCATATATTTTCCAGTCGATTTTAGAAACAAATTATTATTTAATTTAATCATGAAATTTTGAAAACGATTGTGTGATTAAATTATAGAAACAAATAAATAAATAAAAGTGGAAGGAATCAGGTTCCTTCAGGAATGACCAATTCCATTCCATCAGTCAAAAAACCTTTTTTTTCATTCCAATGGAACGAACCATTCCATTCCTTACCTGAATCTGTCATACCAAGCACCACCCTATGGCTATAGTATGATCATAGAATATGTTTACCTCCAAAGCTTTTTCTTCATCATAAATGAAATTGGGCAGCTTCTTTAGCAAGTCCTTTTTGTCAGTTCCAGCCAGCACCTTACTTATCTGTAAAAAAGAAAATAAACTCAGGTATATAAATTAATCTGATGCAATAATTAAGTAAAAAATTCACACCAATATCAACATGTAGCAATACTGAATAGCTGTTCATATTAGTTTGTCAAGTCAATTAGTCAAACCTGAGGTGCATATATGCAACCAAGTGTGCCAACAAGCAATCCTCCTAGAACAAAGCCACCAACAAAGGCATTCCCACTGTTCGATCTTTCATCACTAAACAGAAAAATTTTAATTTTTTTTTTAATGCTCAAAAGAATCAATTGGGAGATGAAATTATATGATCAAAAACATTCACATTGAGTAGGTTTTAACGTGAATAGCTTTAATGTCACTATGACTAGCTCAAATCTATGAAATGTGTCATTTTATGATGAAATAGACTTATGGGGCCTTTGGTTCATAAAATATTTTTTTTAAGAAATGGAATCTGTGAAAGGAATTACAAATGGAATCGGTCGAAGGAATTAGAATTTGAAGGAATCATAATCTGTCACGAGGTTTTTGGCAGTAAATGGAATGGAATTCAATATTAGTGGCTGTATATTTAAAAAAATGTTTATTTTAATATATATATATATATATATATATATATATATATATATATATATACATACTAGGTTACAACCTGTAGGAACCACGGGTAAAAAATTTATAAAACATTTATATTATTAATAAGAGTTAAGTTTGTTTAACACTTTTTGTATTGATTATTTAAAATTGGAGGACTGAATCGGGTATTTATTTCAAACGTATCAAATTAAATTTAAATAGAGATCATATACCATAAATACCATAAAAATCGGATATTAAATGCTGATTTATCTTGACCTGGACATTATAGAAGGTGAAATCAAAGAGGGGTAAAAACGGTATTTAACATTGGATAGAATTAGTGTTTTTTAAGTGACACGTGGCAATTTACTTTCATTTATTAGTTAGGGAGATATATATATATATATATATATATATATATATATATATATATATATATATAATGAGGGTATTTTGGTCTTTTAATAAAAGAGGAAGAATGAAATTGAATTTCTTCCACCTTCCTCTAGGAAATTGTGAGATCCATCAAACATGGAATTTAAAGGATTCCGACAGAATTTAATTCTGTTCATTTCAACCAAACACGCCATGGAATGGAATCCTGAATTCCAATTCCGTCAGAATCCACACACCCTTATACACTTTTTTGCCCTCTTTTTCTTTTATTTATAGATATTAATGTGTTGAATATGATCACAAAAACTATAACAATTCATTTTTAATAAATCAATACATTTATTTTGGGTGACTTTCACCCATTTCCTTTTTAGCTAACTTTTTTAAACTTAACTCATCATTAAAGATAAATATAACTCAAATCACCACACCAATTGCTAGACAACTCTAATCTTGAATTCGGTAAAACTTAGAACTTGCATGAAACATATAAATCTGTCAAATGATAATTACCTGTATCCTGCTTTGATAGAGAATGTCCTTTTGGATGTTCCAAACAATAATTTGGTGAATCCATGGTCATGTTTCTTTAAAGAGGATCCTACCATAAGTTTACAACAACAAGATTCAATCTTTGAGTAAAGTTTCCAACCATAAATATACATATGACAGGTTATTACATTCAAGAATATAGTCTAGTAACTGAACATAGTGCTATAAAATCTCAACATTTTAGATAATTGACATTTGACATATAGGATGTATTTCACTCGTCGTTTATTCTGATTCAATCATAAAAACTGAAACTTAAAAAGGTTTTAAGACATATTTTACAAACAGCCTGAAACAGAATCAAGGTAAAATAAATTCATACTATTTAGATGATCTAATAGCACAGCACTGTTTGTAGATGATCTAACAGCACTTCCTATTCTTCTATCTCTAATTCTCTAAGACTTTGGTTTTCAAAATGATTATTGCTACATTCAAGAATCTTGATTGAGGTTAGTAAGAGCGATGTTCAAGATTCAGATAATTAGCTACATGATTAAAGTGAGGAATAGATACGTAATTTTACATTTACCCTGAAAAATTAGTTTCGTTGAATTCAATGTCTTCTAAAAATCTTATTATTTTGACCATTTTAAAAAGTAAGATATTCATCAGAATCAAATTTGCCAATGATTATAGCAACTTCACCTCAGGGTAAAATCACGCTTGCAACACATTCAAACACACTCTATTTCATCTCCCAAAAAATCCTCAGATGGAAATTTGGCATTAATAAATATTATAAATATTAGGGTTTATATATAAGGGTTTATAAAGTTACGCAATGCATGATATAACACACGATTGACACAATGAATCGAGAAAAATGAATCGGTAAACTTATAACTTCCTTCAAGAAACTATTTCAAATTTAGTTGCGGAAAAAATGATTGAATTCAAAGGAACGACACTAACAACGATACTGTTAAATAAATAAAAATACCGGATGATAATTGGGTTGACTGGTGCTTGGGTAAAAGCGCCGATGAAGTCGATACTGCGGACATGGCTTCAAATTAGCAAGAGAGATGGAAGGTTTGGTGAGCTTATGTGTGTAGAGATGTAGAAATTGGGGGAATTGATTATAAGAAAGAGTTAGTAATGGGTATTTTTCTTGTTATTTGGTCGATAAAATCTATGCTTAACAAGTCTAGTCAAAACGAGATGTGTGAATCTTGTTTTCGGTTTGGCAACCGTGATTTTTTGTTTTGAAATTAAATTATTTTTCTTGATATTTAATTATTAAGATTTTAAATTGTATTTTTTTAACTATTTGGATAAACATATTTTAAAAAACTTGTTTTAATTGAACCGGACTTTTTGACAGGTTTTTTATTCAAAATGTTCGACGGTCAGGTTAATCCGGTTTTCAAAATTTTCATTTTTGTTTTTATTTTCCTGTACATCAATCTAAATACATTAAAAACACACAATATATAATATGAAAACTAAATATAAGCTTCGTGACAATTACTATTTTCAGTAACAAAATCACACCATTTAATCTAAGAGGGAACTTGTTAAAGATTTCTTACAAACAAGTTTTTATAATTTTGAAGGTCTATAAAATTAGATAATATGAACATTAGAAATGTATTCGCGTTGCAAACAATGGATCTGTAAGTCATTATCAAAACACAAGATGTATGAGAAAAATCTAAATATATATAAAAAGACCACCAAAATTTGTCATGTGAAATGTCTTATTTTTATGTTATTTATTCAATTTAACTGGTTCAATTAAGTTTTTAACGGTTTATTTTAATCGAGTTATTGTAAAAAACGGCCGATTCATTATAGTTCAAAAATAAACATAAAACCGATGCTAGTTGAACTGTTTATTTTTCCGGTCTCAGTCGGCTCAAAACGATTTTTAAACATTGCAGATAAAGATACATAATAGTGTAGGACCTATCTTTCTAACTATTTATGTAAAAATTGTTCATCTATTTCGTGCGACTTTTTCTTACTATTTATTTAATAACATAATATGACTCGGTCTCATAGAAATATTGAATAAAAGATTGGACTATTTTTTTCTTCTATATTTGTAAATTTTTATTCATATATATTAAAGGCATACAAAAACAATCACCGAGTATCTTTTAACTTTAAACATGTTCCGAATATTTATCCGTTTTTTATAACTTTTTATTTTGTTATGTTTTAGTAAAGCTTCGTTGTCTTTATCTTCAACTCTTCTAAATTCAATACTTGTTTCATTATTTTAGTGAATAAGTAATGTCCATAAAGAAGAATTTTATGGGACCATCTTTATTAAAAAAATGAATGATTCAGACATTTCGGATAAAAACATACAAAATTCAAACGGAACAAATCAATATAACATATTCTTTACCTATTAAATTATCTCGAAGCTATTACGTGCTATTAACCCAATCAACCGAATGTCACTTGACACGGTTATATGTGATTATGTGCTGTATGTCATGTGAATGTTTACATAGCTTATCAGCAATGTTTTAAAATCAGGTTTTGAGTTAAACCGATCTGATGACTGGTTTCGGTTTGACTATGGCGGGTTCCCGGTTTGACTCTCTGGTTAACCCATTTCTCGAAATTTAAATAATTATAATATCAAATAGAGTTTACACAATTTCATTACCAGAAAGCATTATAACATTTATCAAACATAATCAAAAAGTTTCATAACATTAACATTTTTAGTAACAAAAATACATCACCTAAGCTATAAAGAAAACCTTATCAAAGATCCAATTCACAAAAAAATTCTTTATCATTTTGAGAGTCTACAAACTTGGTCAATGTTAACATTAGAAATCAAGTCAAATGTTATATTGTTATCTCATATTCGAAGTATTAGGTGTGAGACCCATATATTATATGAGTTTATTTAAAAAATTTATATACATGAAAGTTCTAAACATTTGATGTTTGAATTTATAAAAAGTAAGAAAAATATTGAATTATTAAAATTAAAGTGTTTTTTCTCTTTTAAATTTAAACAAATAATTTACATAAATAAATAAAGGAAACTAATGATGCTTTAATTTAGTAAATATGAAATTAGAATGGATGTCCATTAATGAAATTAATATGTATTTATTATTACATTTAGATATTATATGAAATTTAATAAAACGAAAAAAAAAATATCATATGACATGTGGAAAAAAATGAAAATAATAAAAAAAAAAATCATGTGACAAAATGCATTAGAAGAAAACAAATGACAAAAGTATTTTCATATATTAAGTAGGATTCTCATATTTTCATATTCATTTTCTAGAATTGAAAGAATGGATATGCAACCCTTTATCAAACAAAAGATGCACACCATGATAAGAAAAGTTTAAATTGATGTGAAAAAGACCACCAAGTCCAATTACACCGTTTTTTTAACGGATCAACCGGGTTTTATAAAAACCAATTGGCTTGCTCCACCTCACCGCCAAGTCAACCACATCCCTCCACCACCACCACCGGTGCTGCTCTTAACGCATGAGAGAGAGAGGGAGAAGGGGAAGAGGAGGAAGAAGAAGAACGGACCATCACCACCATGCCAATGACGCTACCCGGGGGGTGGTGTTCACGCCTATCACGCACACGACGCGTCTATAACATCTTCCCACTCCGAATAGCCTAATCAAACGAATATTCCTCGATGCAATTATCTAATAAAAAGGTCAATGAAGTAAATAACGATGTATATTTTCAGTTTTCCTCTCATTATAATATCGTGATTTGATTTCTTCTTTCTACAATATTATACTTTCGGTTTTTATATTTTAATTAAAAAATAGAAACAAAACATTGTAACAAAGAAATAAAAATAAAAATAACCATTTTTGTAATTTATGATAAATAAAAAACAGTTTGTGCTAGGCCATGTTACTTCATAGTTTCTTCCTATTTTGGCCATAGCTATGGCCGGCAAGATAATATATACTTCTCTGAGCTTTCTGTACTTTTCTTTTTTGTTTAAGATAGTCAAATGTTATTTGCAATAAGTTTTAAAGTTAAAATTTCTAATCTCCCACCAATATTGAAGGTGTTAGTTATGTTGTGTAACCCGTATCAACTGGATAGCTTGAAGCTAATGCAATCTAGAAATATTAAAAGAATACATGATAAACAGTCATGTCAAGAAAAGGTCCACACTCTTCGTCAGGGTCATTTGGTTCTAAATTCATTGGCTTAATTAGATGATGCTTTAATGTTTCCTTTTGCTTAGATTGGAATCTTGCAAAAGAAATATAAAATGTCCAATCCATATCAACCTATGGTCCACTAGTTCAAATTCTATAAAAAACGCAAATAAACAATATATGTTAGTCCCAATTATTAGTATTAGATTTGATGATGATGACAGAATCTAATTTTATGTAATAAAGCTTCTAATAAGTCTATACAAACCGGCTCAATAGTCCGTTTTTACTAATTCGACTAATTCTGACCTGAGTTATAGTATCTTCGATAGTTAACTAACATCGATATTTTTATTCATATATTCTATGTGATATCTTGGTACTTTTATCTATATTTTAGTCCAAAATCAAAGAAATAATACTTAGTATGTTTAAATATTATTTTGTAACAATAAAGAGATACTTGGAACAAAATAAAGACAAATTGTTGCGCGAAAGTGGATAGTTTGAATGAATTGATGAATGAAGAAAAAGATTGTGAAAATAAGATAACTACATGATCATGTGGGTTTAGCAACATAAAGATGATAGAATCATGATGACGTATAGATAACTATGCCTCATCAAACTTGGAGAACACACGATAAGGATTAGGCTTAGCGATGCGATGGATAAGCCATCATGGCATGACTTATGAAATTTGGAAACTTTATAAATACGGAAAAATTCCGATCATTGGAGAAAAAACAAGTTTCTAAGTTTTACGACAGAAGAACCCCCATAATCATTCTGGAAAAGGAAGATCAACATTAGAGCGAGATATGAAGGAATCGAGAGAAGAAATACATCGGAATCATTCGGTTTTGTCTAATTAATCATGTTTATCAAAGTTATTTGATTTTTAGTTGTATTATTTCTGAATTGAATATGGGCTAATAACCCTTTACTTTGGTTTAAAGTAGATGATCGTTAAAACTATATGTTGATTTCAATAATTTCGGATTAAATCAAGTTATCTATATAATATGTTCGCTTGATTAAAATTTGTATGTGTTAAAGTTGATAACTTTATTTTTTTTATTGTTGAGTATATTTAGATTTGATGAACAATCTTTCTTTGTATGCTCGAATCATATTAAATTTATGAATCGTAGAATTGTATAACTAGTGTTTGAGCAAAACCTAGGGATAAATAGTAAAGTCGTTAACTTTATTGCGTAAGAATATGTATGATGAACAAGTGTAAGAATAGTGAAGTCGGTAACTTTAATGTGTAAGAATATTTATGATGATCAAACCTATTACATTCTACAACTACATATTACGTCCGAAAAGCTAGACTAAAGTCTATTTATGAGAAAGAGCTTCTGACAACCGTTAAAGACGTTTTAAAATGGAAGACTTATCTAATGAGGAGAAAATTCATCACCCGGTCTGACCAACTCAGTCTCAAGTATCTCTTGGGGCAACAAATAGTGGGAAGTGATCACCACAAGTGGGTCTCCACGCTGATGGGTTTTGAATTGGAGATTTAATATCAAATGGGGCAAGTAACAAACTAGCAGATGCTCTTTCTCGCAAATGGCTAAATTCTGAGTGTCAAAACATGGAAATTGGGTGCTGGAACTTTTGGGACATACTCAAGGATGAGATGGCATGATATCACTTCATCAGAACAGTGAAGAATGAATTGGAAGCAGACCCCAACTTTCATCGCGAGTTTACCATGTACTAGGTAAAGATATTCTAGTGATACCCACCAAATCCTCTTTGATACAAGAGTTAATTGCTGAAGTCCATAACTCGCCAATGAGAGGTTACGTCGGGGAGATAAAGACATATCAATATGTCGCAGCAGAGGTGTATTACCTGGGATGAGGAACGATATATGGATCACATTAAGGAGTGTAAGGTGTATCAAAACACAAAACTTTAACCTCGTCTAGCGTTGTTGCAACCCATCTACATGCCAATGCAACCATAGGGTAGGGTGACTATGGACTTCGTCGAGGGTTTTCCAAAATCAAATG